TTTGTACTATCACATACATATGTTATCTTTATGTAGTATTTCAAAGCTTGTAGACCAAAAATGTTATTTTTTTTTTTTTCAATAATACACTGCATACATTGGGAAGCACTTATTCTAACTGAGCCATCTTCCTGGCCTCTGAAAATTTTTATGTAAATATGAACATTAAGACTTTTATTAGTGAATTTATGACCTTTTTGGTCATTATAAAAACTGTAACCCAGCGAAAAGTTGAATCTGGTTGAGTCCCTAGTTCCCGGCAGCTAGCAGCAGAGTGCTTTTGGCTTGTAGAAGGAGGAAGTGGGTGCAGTAGGACAGCGCAGAGCGGGGGAAAGCCCTGGTTTTGGACAGCGCCGTCCGTGGACAAGAGCAAGGGGCCGGGCCCGGGGTTCATCTCACGGTGGCAGGCAGTCCTCGTTCCACAGGCTTTGAATGAACTTCCGTCACTGAAGCCATCCTAGATGCTCATGAGAATATCCGCTGCTTCTCATCTGCTAAGCCTGCCTTTCCCTCAGCGTACTGAGAAAAATGCTTGCAGCCCTCCAATATCAGAGTGAAAGGCTTGCAGCCCCTGCTCCTTGAGTAGGTTAGACCAACAGGGAAAACAACGGTACCGAATAACCAAGCAGTTTACCACGTGGGGAAAGAACTGGACTTTTATCACCAACTTCACTAGTGTCCCAAAGTGGCATCCTAGTGAAGGTCACCTTTCTTGTGCTTTTATTTTGAGAATTAAAACGTAACTCTGTAGAATTGCAAAGTGTTTCTAACTGGAAAGCATCCTTAATAAACGCATGGTTAAGTTTGAAATGGAGATTTCAACCCAGACAGAGTTCTGTGTATTTCTAAGTATTAGTTGTACTGTGGCATAGTCTCTCACCCCAACTCCCCAGGAGGCCAAGTTAGGAGGTAATGGAGCAAGAGTCTGTCTTAAAATAAAATTTTAAAAAGGGTTGGGGAAGTAGCTTAATAGCAGAGTATCCTTGGATTCAGTCCCCAGTCCAGAGAGAGAAAGATAAGACAGGCAGACAGATGAGGGAGGGAGGGAGGGAGGGAGGGAGG